TACACACTGGGCCGTCAGCAAACAGGTCAGGCTCGCTTGCAGAGCCTTTTACAGGGATTTTAACAGGTACCCTGTTGAAACATGACGCTCCTCTTTACTCTCTAGATACTTTAGCATTAGTGAATTTTATGAGGGAAAAGAATGAGAGTTTAACCACTGGGGAGATTTAGCAGTTCCAATTAAACAATTGCACTCTTTAAATTTTAATTTTGAAATCAGTGACTACTGGTGTTTGAGTGTTCAGCTTTACTTTTTCTAGTGGACACTTGTGTAGTTCTGAAATTTGTAAAAGTGGTAAAAGTGGGGGAGTATTGCATTGTGTGGGTGTAGTGTATACAGATGCATGCTCTGATGTAGTTAGTGTACCTTGAGAAACCTAACTATAATGAAATCTATTACAAAACAAATATATGTGTGTAGAAAAGATACATTCAAGCAGATATATATAGAAAAGATACATTCAGGCAGATATATATAGTAAAGGTACGTTCAAGAATGTTCCTCCCCACTAAGAAAGAGTTCTAGGTTCTGTCCCCTGCTTATCACTAATTTGCTTGAGGTCACCCTAATCCTTTTTTTATTTTTTAAAATTTAATCTTTATTATATTTTTTATCCTATTACCATTTAGTCTCCTTATATCCCCTAGCCCCCCAGCAATCACCACACTGTTGTCCATGTCCATGAGTCCTTTTTCCTTTTTGCTCAATCCCTCCACCCCTGACCTCCCATCCCCCAGCTGTCACCCTGCTCTCCATCTATGAGTCTCTTTCTGTTTTGCTTGTTAGTTTTCAGTTTGTTCATTAGATTCTACTTATGAATGAAATCATATGGTATTTGTCTTTCTCTCATTGGCTTATTTCACTAGCATACTGGTTCTCCAGGTCCATCCTTACTGTCATAAATGGTTAAATTTTCTTCTTTTTTTATTGCTGAGTAGTATTCCATTGTGTAAACTATAGTTGTTTTATCCACTCATCTACTGATGGACACTTGAGCTGCTTCCATATCTTGGCGATTGTAAGTAACACCGCAGTGAGTGTAGGGGTGTTTATATTCTTTTGAATTTGTGTTTTGGGTTCCTTCTGATACACTAATTCGTTGTTTTAGATGGCTCCTATGTTCCCTTGTCCTTCCAAAAATTTCCTATAATAATGTAATTATTCTTAAAAGAGTGCTTGACTATCAACAAGTAAGCCTTAAAATTCTCTTTTTGTTAATTAAAACAAATGAGGTATTTGATCTTTAAGGACTCTTCCAGCTTCAAGTTTTTGGTACTTGGTGATCTGGAGTTCAGAGTGTAGTTGTAGAACTATTGCAGGTTCCAGATCTTCTGCACCAGTTAGTGTTTGTCTTGTGTGAAAGGGGTTTCTTTTGGGGAAGGCAGGCCACCAATGGCGGTGCGATGCTTGGCCTGCTCTCAGTCCACCGGATGCAGACAGCTTCTGGAGCAGCAAACACCTGCATGTTGATAAGATCATACCTATGCCTTAGCTTCTTGTATGAGACTTGACATTTTCTAATCCTCACAGCAATCTGCAAGGTCTAGCTCTCACTGTTTCTGTTTTTCCAAATGAAGAAGCCAGGGCTCAGAAAACGTGAACCCCTTGCCCAAGGTAGTGAATCCGCAGGTAAAAACCTTGGTCTGTCGTGCCCCCGAGCCTGTACACTTCCAACCACGCCTGGCTATCTTCCAGTAAGGCCATCGATTCTCTAGAAATCACCCTTCAGAGGTGTTTGCGAGTTGTTAGTGTCCTGGCCTTGTATGCTTTTTGTTTTTTTGTTTTGTTGTTATATTTATTTTCTTTATGGAACCCAGGGTGCTAAATCACTTGTTTAGTTGCAGATGTTCCTGGTAAGACTGTTGCTCACTGAGTGTCAGGGAGCTGATCTGGATGTTTATCTCCTAGTTGAAAATTTTCTGTACGCCTTTGTTTTATCTATGGATTTTAATGCAACTGTGGCATATGAGCCTAATATGTTTATAGTTAGGGACGTAGGGCATCCATTTGTAAGTTTATACAGTGAACTCATCACCACGAGCCTTCTTTCCAACTGTAAGCTCTCTCCCTGGAGTCGGTGATGTCAGGGCTGGAATGTCTGTTGGTTATTTATCACCATTAGCCTTCATTATTTTAAATGAGTGCCCACCCACCTGATACTCTGTAACCACATGTTTCCAGAGCTTCTCTGGAGATAACATCTTGTAGCACACCCCACCCTCCCTTTTTAACCTCACTCACAAATGTTTTGTAACTGAAGTCCCCAAAGTCTGAGAGAAACAACACCTGAAGAGAGAGCCTCTCTGGGCGTGTGAAATTCGGAACAATTTGAAAACAAGTGTTGCTCCTGAATCTGAAGCTTTGAAGGAAAACTTCGCTCGTGTTGAACATATATTAGTTTGTAAATACGGAGTTCCACTAATTACACCTATAGCTCACAGCGAAACTACCTGTTACGTCTTGTTACTCTGAGGGGGAAAAATGAGAGAATTATATAGGCGTATGTGTTATAAAAAAATTGGAATGCAGAGATAGTGCATTCTCTCTCCAATTATGTGTCTTTTTCTGGTGAGGCAATTAATCAGTTTTTCTGTTACCGTGATACACACCTGAATTCAGGTGTGGCAAACTTGGAGGCAACTCTGTGGACAACCTCCTGTTGCAAAGTAACAAATTCTAGTTATCCTTCTCTCTTCTTTTATTGGAATGACTAAATAGCACCAAAATTGTGTGATATTTTATAGAATCACTGCTTACTTGGATTATTAGTCTGCCTGTCAATATGAGGAAAAGGTTTGTTGTGCTCTTAAGAATGGCTTTTTGGTGCAGGCCAAATGTGTTTACAGTGGGAGTGACTCAGTTTTTTGAGTGGCAGATTAATAGTCTTTAAATGTGTTACAGTAAGTTTTTCAGGAACGTACCCTTTTCATAAAATGAAGCTCATGTATTTCCATCAGGAAGAGCGTGCACCACCATGAAAACTACAGAAAAGGGTAGATCGTGGAAGTATATGATGTCAGGCTGGGAAGCCACCTGAGCCCTCAGCCAAGCCCCTCCTGTCAGAGATGAGCAAAGCGAGGCCTGCGCTCATACAGCGGCCACGGGGCACAGCCTGCTTCTCCTGACCCCTGTTTTGGTGCCATTGCTGCTGCATCTTGCTGGCATGTCTATGAAGAAAAGGGTGGCTCTCCTTCCCTTCCCCAGGGGTGGCTCACTAAAGTAGTGTTGAAGGCCTGAGTTCAAAAAGAATTATTTAGCATGTGTTATTTTAACAACCTATGTTAGTTCGTAAATATGGGGGTCCTGGAGAAGTATATTAACTTTGTTATTCTTGTAAGTTACCTTTAATAGAATATGAGTCATTTTCAGTGATATAAAATTCTGGTATGCATGTGAATTTCTGTGATCCTAAGATTCATCTCAGAGACGTCTTATGCTCTTTGAAATGTATATGAACTTTGGTTCCTGAATTGCTAAAGCTACTTATAGTTGTTTTAATCATCAAGCAAAAGTGCTCTTCTTGAGATTTATTGATGATTGTGCCAAGGTCTTATGTGCAGTATCCCTCTTTTTTTCTTTTTTTTTTTTTTGAAATAATCTCAGTAAGACAAAGTGTTTGCTTTGTATTTTGACTGTAACTGGAGGATTCAAATGATGCTTTGGAAGACTCAAAGTTTGCAGTTAAGGTCATGGGCTCTGGAATTTACCTTTCCTGTTGTCATACCACTTATTGAGTGGTGTTGGAGAGATGATTAAGTTAAGTAAGCCTCAGTTTCCCTATTTGTAAAGTGAGATTTTATGTGTCGTCTTATGTTACCTGCTACTGTGGTTGCTATTTTTGCTGCTGTGATTATTGTTACTCTCCAAGTTTTCCAAACCTACCTGGGGAAGGGCTAGTAGCTAGAAGGGGTGCAAATTCCATTCTAAATTCTAGTGAGAGGGAAGATGGGGAGAAGGGACTCACCTGCCTTGGCACTGAAGTTGTCACCTCCTGTAAAGGAAAATTTTACCTGGCTCAAGTGTTGTTACTGGACTCTTGTGTGCTTGATTTCTCTTCCATCTTCTTATACCAATATGTCTGATCTGCTAAAGGGAAGGTCACATGTGTGAATTTTCATGGTGACTTGCAGAAAGGAGAGACCCGAGGGCTCAGTCACAGCCTTTAACGCCAGGCAAGAGGCTGGAGAACCTGAGTGAGGCAACCAACCCATTACATGTTGGGTGGGACTGTCCTTTCCGGGGCTCCCTTAACCTGTCTTTCGTGGTGCTGATGCTCAGTAGAGTATGGAGGGAGAAAGTCCATTCTCAAAAGGCAGCTGCCAGGGAATAAGGAAATGGTGAACAGAGTAGTTTTTAGCTGTTTGAACTAGTTAACTCTGCTGAGTTACGTTGTCAAGTGCGGTCTCTCCTTTCTGCTGCCTCTCTAAGGAGAAACTTGGAACGGACTGCATACCTGTCGTGTATGCACTTGTCTCCAGCCCGCATCTGTTCGTAGGCTAAAAATGAAATCCACTTACCACCATTACCTGGAGGACTTTTATGGGTTTTATAGGGTACAGCTAGGACCTGTTTTATTGTTCGTGACAGTGACTTAAGAAGCCACCTTTGCCAGTATTTTTTTTAAATCAAGTCCTGAGATCTTTATTTGCTTGTTTATTTGTTTATTTATTTATATCATATACACTTTTATACCACTGGGCAGTCACACTGGCCCTTTCATTGTAGATAATTTGAAGAATTTTTCCCAAGGATCCTTAAAGGGGGGAAATCCAGGATTTGTGTATGTTTCTAAATTATGGGACAAAGTTCATATTCAAAGATTCAACTTTTCTCTGTTTTCTGCATTCTGAAGCTGAATTATGACTATTCCTGCATCTGTTTTCTCTGCTCATTTTTCTTGTTTCTGTATAAACACTTAGCAACTAGTTATTTTTCTGTTAAATTAAGTGCTTCAAGTCTATTATCACTTAGTTAACAATCTTACTTACTTTGTTTTCCAGGGATATCAGTATGAACAACATTACTCAATTACCAGAAGATGCGTTTAAGAACTTCCCTTTTCTAGAGGAGCTGTAAGTATCACTTTGAGAATTGTCATTTGTTTGTTTTTTTCTCTTCTCTTCACAACAGATAGTCTAACATGTCCTGTTAGGGGACATACAGATAGCTTCAGTGGGCGTTGTGCAGAGGAAATCATGTTTTTGCAGGGTGGGGTGCACACCAACTTGATTTTTAAACAGTGTAATTGCTGAAGAGATTTTTGAACACCAGAACTAAAAATGCTTACTTCCATAAGATTTTTTTTTTTTGCTGCAATTATTATAACCAAGAGTGCTGTGGTGACACAAGTTAATGACAGTGTTATCCTGAGATAACAGGCCTGCTGTGTAATTACCATTGTTGCCAAAGGAGTTGCTGTATGGATAACAGACCATAAAAAAATAATACGAGGCATTTCAGGGACACGATGCAACAGATAATACTGGCAAAACAAGCAGAAAACTTGAGTGTACGTCACTTTGGACATTTGCGGGCGGCCTTTGGGAATGGGATGAAGGTATAGAACACCTTTGACTTTGGAGTGTTTCTGAACTTGTCAGTTGCATCTCACATTTCTAGTTTAACAGTTTACATTGTGGAAAATTTCTTTCCACTTGTTTTAACCTCCATTTTGTTGTGCTCTCCCCACTTTTTTGAAGTTCCTGGTTAAAATAGGCACTTTTAGTTTTCAAAGGAATTGGAAACTGAATGTTATGTTTTAAGAACCCAGGTGAAAAAAGTAAAATCAGACTTGAGTCAAGTTAAATATAGACTTTTAATGACCAAGCTAATTGATTGTGTAGTATGTGGAGATAAGAAGATTACAGTTTGATACTAAGAACATCAAAGAGATATAGCCTGGAAGGAATCTAAATTCATATTACAGCAGATCTGAGCCCTACAGCCCAGCTGTTGAGTATTAGATGCAAGTCAGTGAATGTGGCCTAGCTTAGCTTGGCCCCTCCCCCAGCTGGCGCACAGGAATCAAATATAAGACAAGCAGGTTGTGCTCCCTGCTTCTGACCAAGTATTGAAATAGTAGTTAAGGATTTAATAAAGTTAAGGAGAAAGTTTTCTTCCCACACTGCTTAGTTGAACACAATGTTCCCACAGTCAAAACTGAGCAGAGATTATTTACACTTCCAAGCTTGTGAACTGTGTCGAGTTACTTAACTTGCCTCTGCTCAGTTTCTTTGTCTGTAAGGTACAGACAACCACGGTCACTCCCTCGTCGTACTGTGGTGAAGACAGAATGGATTCATAGATGTTAAATGCTTCGGACAGAGAGAGGGTTATGTAAATGCTGGCGAGTACTTATTTTCCTGTTTTGAAAGTGCATTCAAATAAGAAAGCAGTGGCATATACCAAAGGTTATCTTTGGATAAAGGGATTAAATGTATGTTTTATTTTAGCCTATTTTTTCTTCAGTGAACATTAATTATTTTGTAGTAAATAGCTATTTACTTTTCATTAAACATTTTAATTGAATCTGAAAGGAGTGAACTCTGCATTTGAAGCCCCATTCCTTGCTGCTCCTAATCAAGCTTGAAAACACTTTATCTGTTCCTTCTTATTTCACATACAGTTTTAGACTTAGGATTAGTCTCCCTTAACAGAAGTAATTACACAGTGAAAGGACATTACGAAGTGGTTGTTTAGCCATTGGAGAACCGCTGTGGGCTGTGCGACGCACCAGGCCCGGTGGAGAGCAGCTCTCCTTTCTTTGAGGGCAGATTGTGTGCAGACCACCTCTACCGGGGCCTTTGACTGCCAGCTCCACTCTGAGGGGTTTGCAGAGAGGACCCGGATGTGGAGTCAGACCTGCTTACACTCTTGCTTTGTGAAGTTCACATCTTTAGATTTCTTAAAATCTCAAATGACCAAGCATATGCCAAGCTCCTAAATGCTGTCAACCGAGACTTTTAATGGGAACCAACTTGAACGTGACCGCTAGTTCTTTGTAGCCAGGTCAAGTTTGCTCCGTATCCTGCCATTGCAGTGATGGGAGCGTGTCAGATCAAGTCAGTACGTACCCTGTCTTCAGATATTGGATGGGATTTCAAAACCCACCCAGTTAGGAGAGCTGATGGTTAATTTCAAAGACTAGGTCAGAGTAGTTCTTCGTATTCTGGGCATGCTTCAGGCATTCAAGTGTTTCTTCTTCTTTTTTTTTTTTTTCTTCAATAAGCATGGTAAAAGCCCATGTTTTTTCTTTATAAAGCATTATAGTTGATTCTGACGTTCCAAAATGATGCTGCCATGACTATCGTAATATTTCATAAACAGCATAGCCATTAGTCAAGAAGCCATTTGGAAGTCATTGGAGAGTCATCGAGAAGCTGAAGTGCCCTGTTCAGAAATGAATGGTTTACGGATTTTTTTTTTTTCATGATACTTAATGAGGTGCGCTTTACAAGATGTGACTAGTTTCGCCAAATTTTATGATAATCCAGAATGCTTTCAGTGTTGGGTAGAATCACTTCCTGACTGTTCATAAGCAGCGTTTATAGATATTTACACACTCACTTAGTCTTTCAGCAAACACTGAATCCTGCTGTGTGCCAGGCCCTGTGCTGGTGCTGAGAACAGAGGCACCTAAGAAGGGTTTTGTCCTTGGAGCTAGCTGTCTGTGCACAGCGGGGCTGTCCAACACCACAGCCACGGGCCGCAGGTGGCTATTTGAATGTAGGTTTTAACATAATTAAAATTAAGTTAAATTAAAATTTATTTCCTCAGTTGAACTAGCCATCTTTCAAGTGGCTAGTGGCTATTGTATTGGACAGTACAGCTATAGAACATTTCCAATGTTGCAGAAAGTTCATCTGGACAATAATGGTTTAGAGTAGTAGCAGTTTCCAACTTTTTTCATCTCGTGGCACAGGAACTAATGACTAAAATTCTACAGCCTGCCAAAAAATGTATTTTTTGCCTCTCTGACAGAAAATAGGTATCATTTTGCTTCACTCACACTAGATGGCTATCATTGTGCTGGCTGTTGTTATTTTTTCATTTGGCAGTCTAAGGGGAAAGAGGTCAGCACCCCTGCCTAAATGGTCAGTTTTAAAGTTCCTGCGGCACACCAGCTGGAAATCGCTTGTGCAGAGGAAGGGATAGAATGAGCACTCGGTGCAGCAGCAGCAGCGAAGATGGTCACAGAAGTGTGTGCAGACTTGGTGGAGGCCTAAAGCAGTCTGTGTACTTGAGACTGTAGGCTTTAAGAAAGGTTTCTAGAATAGCTGCAGCTGAGTCTTAAAGAACACATGGGAATTAGCTGGATGAGGATGGGTATAGTACGGGTGCTCCATCCAGGAAGAACCTTCTGGTGTGTACAGAAGAGACTCAGAGGTAGACATTGTAGAATATAGGAAGTGTTAGTTATTCATATTGAAAAGCAGACAAATTTGAAATAATGAAAAAGATAGAAGAATGTCAGGAGATGAGGCCAGATCATGAGGGACTTTTTAAGCCAATGAGTTTAGACGATTATCCTGACGGAGGTGAACTGGATATGGAGGTGAGTAATAGGAGGGACGAGGCCATTGTTTTTGCTCTGAATGATGGGGTGCCATTCACTGCCACTGGGGCCAATATGGGGGGTGAAGAATTCACTTTGATTAAAGATTATGATGGTAAATAGCACACATGTAGAGTTTTACATGCATAAAAGTCCATTGTCACAACTCTGTGAGGAGAAGCAGTTTTACAGAAGCAGAAGCCAAGCTGAGGAGATTGAGGGCCTTATTCAGGTTCATGTGCCTGGTGTGTGGTTTTGCTGGCACTTGAAGTCACATCTCCAGAGCCCTGTTGAAATGCTCTGGGTGATATGTATGTTTTCTCAGAGAAGCTCAACTTTTTCTTTTTTTTTTTAATATATTTTATTGATTATGCTATTACAGTTGTCCCATTTAGAGACACTCAACTTTTTCAATGAAATGTACTTTAAATACTGTTGTTGCCAGTTGTTTTATTTTTACCCTTAATTTGCTTTTGAACGTTTTATGGTTTATAAACATCATAACCCAGTGATTACACCCTCTCCTGCCCCAAAAGATACAAAATATAGGTCCTGGCTCTAAATTCTACATACAAAGTGTGCAATTCTGGGACAGTCTTGGGTTTTGCACCCCAGTTTTATACTCTATAAAATGGGACTTCTTATGGTAGAATTATGACAGGAAAATGGGGTAATTTTTGTCAAAGTGCTTTGTGACCATAAAATGCTATTTCCACTGTTATTCTTAAACATCACAGTCTTTCTTTCTCTTATAGTGTTTGGGAGAGAGATTGTTTTGTCTGGGGGTGGACATTGGAACGGGGCCAATAGAGGTTTCTGTTCATGACGTGAAAGGAAAGTCACAATTTTTGGAAAACATTTGTTTAGCATCGACAGGCTCTGTCATCTGATGTGACGCTATCACAACTATTTTCGGCTCTCCTTGAGACCTGTCAGGGCACTGGTAGACATTTGGGGAATGGCCGAAATGTGGAGTTGTGAAACTGATTCAATTAGAAACAGTGAAGGCGTATCCACTTTTCCATAGGCAGCCACTGAAAAATCTGTGGATGTTACCTTGAGCTGGGATGTTGCAACTGCAATAGAAACCATGGGCAGCCTTGGCACTTACACAGTTATTGTTTGATGCACGCTGCAAGATGAGGATAATTTCATTTGTTTCAGAATGTGCATTGACTTTGGAACGCTTCCCAGTGCTCAAGTGAAACTTAGGTCTCTTGAGTACTAATTCAAGATTGCTCAGGTGTTTTTTCATCTATAGGACAATTAATTCTAAATGGAGGACTTACTTTGCATTACTTTACAAAAGAGGACGAGTAAGTAATTTGAACAGGGGGATTTCAAATCAAATATACAATGTCGGTCAAAACTAAATAGTTTTAGTGATATATAAGTACTGGCTAATACATACATATACATAATATATGTGCACATATGTATACACATATATAAAAACTCACTTACAAAATATTGTAAGCATAAAGAATTTTTGCCCATACCATTCACTGAGATTACCCA